TGTCTTGGAGGAAACCAATTATCTAGATCCATTTCAAACTGGCTTTAGGATAGGATATGGAGTTGAAACTGCCATGGTTGCCTTAGCTGATGACCTTCATCTGGGCATCGACAGGGGTAGTGTGACCCTGTTGGTACTACTGGACCTCTCAGTGGCTTTTGATACAATAGATCACACCATCCTTTTGGATCACCTGAGAAGGTTAGGAATTGGAAGCACTGCATTGCAATGGTTCTGTTCTTTCCTCTTGGGCAGATTCCAGAGGGTGATGCTCGGGGACAGTTGCTCTACAAGGAAAGAGCTTAATTGTGGCATCCCTCTAGGTGCCATCCTGTCTCCGATGCTATTCAATATATATATGAAGCCACTGGGAGAGATCATCTGAAGACATGGGGCAGGGTGTTATCAGTACACTGATGACACCCAGATATATTTCTCCATGTCTCGGTCCTCAGCTCTGACTTCAGATAGTGTCTCCCCTCTCAATGATTGTCTTAAAACAGTAATGGACTGGATGAGGAAAAACAAATTGAGACCAAATTCAGATAAAACAGAGGTACTTATAGTAGTGGCCCAAAACCAGGTATTGGGATGCAACCACCAGTCCTGGATGGGGTCACACTCTTCTCTAAGGACTGTGTTAACAGTCTGGGGGTGCTCCTGGATCCGTCCCTTCAGATGATAAATCAGGTAAATGCGCCAGTTAGGAGTTCCTGTTATCAGCCCTTTCCTGGAAGCTGGGGACCTTGAAACTGTGGTGCATGCGCTGGTAACCTCTCGTCTTGATTTCTGTAATGCGCTCTACATGGGGCTACCTTCGTACTTGGTCCAGAAACTCCAACTATTACAGAATATGGCATCCAAGTTGGTCTCAGGAACAATGAGAAGAGACCACATAACACCAGTCTTAAGATCACTTCACTGGTTGCCCATTAGTTTCTGGACCCCATACAAGATGTTGGTCATCACCTTTAAAGCCCTAAATGGCTTGGGTCCAATATATCTTTGGGACTGCCTCTTTCCGTATAATCCACCCCACACACTCGGGCCCTCTGGGAGGAATCTGCTGCAGCCTACAAAAACTAGGCTGTCTGCAACTGCCCAGAGGGCCTTTTCGGCAACTGCTCCTAGATTATGGAATGGCCTGCCAGATGAGATCAGTCATATTACCACCTTGAACAGCTTTAAAAAGGCTGTTAAGACAAATCTCTTCCGGCAGGCCTTTCCTGAATAGATATCCCGGCCATCAAGAGACAGCCCAACCTGCTCACCTGACTCTACTACAGTTATTGTTATTTGTTTATTTGTATTTTATTTTAAGTGTGTTTTAAATTGTTCATTGTTTAATGGTATTTTAAGGGGAGGGTGGGATTGTGGAATATGTAGTGTATTTTTAATGTTGTAAGCCGCCCCGGTTGCGTTATGCAGAGGGCTGGGATAATAATAATAATAATAATAATAATAATAATAATAATAATAATAATAGATATTCCTTCCTCCTATTTTCACTCCTCCTTCTTCTGTGTCCAAGCCTGCTTTTCTTATAATGTGTTCTGCATACAAGTTGAACAGATAGGGTGAAAGGATACATCCTTGTCTGACCCCTTTGCCTACTGGGAACCATTCTGTTTCTCTGTGTTCTGTTCTGACAGTAGCCTATTGTCCTGAGTACAGATCAGGACTATCAGATGTGTTGGCACTCCCATGTCTTTAAGGGCATTCCATAGCCTTTCATGATCTATGCAGTCAAAGGCTTAGCTATAGTCTATAACACACATGCTGATTTTCTTTTGGAATTCCCTGGTGTGCTCCATTAGCCATTGTGAACCTGCTGGTGGAGCATCAATAGAATGTCCAAAGAATGCAGCACATTTTGGGAAAAAGCTTATGAGACAGAGATTGGTTAGGCTAGTCTTCTCATTGACAATGTCAGCTGGAGATGTTATAACTTGTATGTTCAATACATCTGGAGGACATAGAGTTAGCAAGGGCTGACCTAGGAAATATGAGTTACATTTCATTGAAGAGTATTACCATGACATAACAGTATTGCATGATATATGATGTTTGATATCTATAGATTATGACTTTCATTGCAGTCAGATGCAGGAAATTAGTGAACCCACCTTTAGTTCCCAAGGGGTTGGATCCAGATTTAGTCATATCAGTTAAGTGGTCTAAGAGAACTTGTACGACAATACATTTGTTTGACTATAACGTGCTACAAGATGCTTTGCCATCAATGGGATTTGAGTCCCTCTGATTCAGTGGATCTTCTGCAAGTGTGTCTAAGTTTGGAGCCAATCTATTAAAAGTGATTTGTAGTAGAACTGAAACAATGGCAAAATACAGCGAGTTAATTGCCATTAGCTATGGTGATAGCCACTACATTAGATAATTTTAAAAACAGATTAGGCAAATAGATGGAGGATCAGTCGATGAATGGATAACAGCCATTATGGTCCAACATCCATAACTCAGAGGCAATATCGTTCTTTCTTTTTCTCATTCTCAGGTGTGAGTGCCATTGCTTATATAGCTGGAATGGCATTGTCTCACAAAAGATGGAGTTATTAGTATCGGGGGGGGGGGAGGAATAAGGATGTAGAAATATAGGGGGAAAATAGGAAATGATAATCCCATTGGATGGAGGAGGAAACTTCAAAGCAGCCCAGCATGGCAAATGACCATAGAATCTTGTTGAACTGTTGAGTGACAAATCCAAAATATTTGGTAATATGGAGAATGGAATGGAATATCATAAAAGGGAGCATGGCTAGCTGGCTGGCTGCAGCAAGGAGCAGGATCATTGCATATTTCAACATTTTATTGTTGGTCCTGTACTCTTGAATTCCAGTTTCTGGAAAGCAATCATAGTGGAAGTTTATTGTTTTTGCTTGATTGGTTTCTTTCTTTTGCATATACTGTATTTGAAATGCATGTTACCTTTGTAAATTCTCAGAAAGAAATGTGTTTGAATGGAAGAATAATAATGGTATTCCTGTATTGGAGCCAGAAGCACTACAAAAATGCATTTCTTTTTCCTGTAGTGAAGAAATGATTTTTCCACCCTCATCTTGCTTTGTATCTTGATTTATAGTCATTTTTGCAGAAGCATAATTTGTTGGATGAAAATGCTGTTCTACAAGTTAACCTTTAGCATACTAAATCTCTATTGTCTATCTGGGCCCAGTGCCACAGGTTTTTAAATATATATATATATATATATATATATATATATATATATATACACACACACATATATATATTTAGTGCAAATCCATTTATTTTATTAAGCTTGCAGGACATTCAGTCAATCTACATATCTTGTAGCTGCCTGTGGCCTCGTGGGATTAAAATCTTGTATATCAAATGGTTATAAAAAATAAAGGCATTAAGGAGATGTCTTCAATGATTACTATTTATACATTCTGGAGACATGCATGATTCTTTAAATGATGTATCAAACAGAATGAAGCTGGCCATTAGAGGGCACTTCATACTAATTGGAGCAATGACTCATTGATTTGCATTTTTTTCCAGTCTCCCAAGACTGATCAAGTAAAAGTTCCACTCATTCAGAGATGATGAAATCTTCAGTATAACTGTATGTTTCATCTGAAACCAATCATAACACTCAATTGATATGTTAAAATGTCTCCGGCAAGTTTTGCATTATAAGAAAAACTACTTTCTTATAGCTTCTTTGGAGAAAGGTTCTTTAGTCCAGGAAAATAAGATCCTTATCAGACTCACAACGTTAAAAAATACATTTTTTTGGACTACACCTCCCAGAATCCCCATTTGGTTGTAAGATTGTGGCAGCTGTATTTCAGATGATGATGATGATGATATTTATCTTTCAACTCCATTCCAATCCTTTACTATCTTTCATAACATGAGCCTCTTTTCTAAAAAAAAAAAAAAGTCCTCCTCTTCTCAGACTCTTGGCCTTATCTGCCAATGTTCTGTCTCTCTATCTGCTACTGGGCATTGCCTCTTTCTCCTACTAGCTTAAATATTTTCCTTGATAATGGCAGCCCACAATATGGAGCTACATTATTCCTCTGAGAATAAGAGAATGGAACACTTCTTTTTCAACCCTTCCTTTTATTATGTCCTTTAGCCATTCTCATAATGGTAACACAGAGGCCACAGAAATTGATTTCCAGAACAAATAGATTTTCTCTTAAACAGATACCTGTGTGTTTCTCTGTGTGTGTGTGTGAGAGAGAGAGAGAGTGAGAGAGAGAAAGAACATTTAATATAATTGAGACTATTTTACGCTTACAGGAGCTGTGTGTCACTGTGTGAATTCTGTGTAAGATGGCCCAAAACACAGCATCTTCTATAGAACCTGCATAAACCAGATAAGAATCTGGTCATTACCTGCATTTCAAAAGAGTGAACACATTTCACATTTTTCTCACACACACACAAAAAAAAAAATTATTATGTGACTATAATGGGATTTTCCCCCTTTTATTCTCCATTTCTTTTCTCTGCTTTTTGTTCTTCTACCAGAGGAAATAGCTTCTTCCAAGCTGCAGCATCCAACTTTGGACATAGCTTGCTACAGTTCATTATCTAAACTAGATCCATCATGGCATAGTGATTTGAGTGTTGGACAATGACTCTGGAGACCAGGGTTTGATTCCCGCTCAGCCATGGAGCCCACCTTGGGCAAATCACATGCTCTCAGTCTCAGGGGAATGAATGGCAAACCTCTTCTGAACAAATCTTGCCATGAAAACCCCATGATAGGGTCACCATAAGTTGGAAATGACTTGAAGGCACACAACAGACACACAAGCCCAGTAACAGTGGGAACTGTTAATTGGGAAAACCACTGGGGAAGAAAGAAAACATGGAGCTTTTCTATGTTGTTTTGGTTGTTCCTCCTACTTTTTTTTACTCAAGGCCAAGAGCTGAATAACTGTTACATCAAGAAAAAGATGCCTGATATTCCCTTTTCCCTCTCATACCCACCACAAGGAAGAACCAATGTGGGGTAGTGGTTTAAGTGTTGGACTATGACTCTGGAGGCCAGGGTTCAATTCCCAGCTTGGTCATAAAAACCACTGGGTGACCTTGGGCAAGTCACATGCTCTCAGGGGAAGGCAATGGCAAACCTCCTCTGAACTAATCTTGCCAAGAAAACCCTGTGATAGGCTCACCTTAGGGTCGCTTTAAGTCAGAAACAACCCATTACAAGAAGTGGCCAGCCTAGTTTGGCAACACATTTCACATTTTCCTTTCATAAGAAAGTACATTACAGTGGGACCTTGGTATCTGCTGGGTTTTGCTGGCAGGATCACCTGTGGATACCAAAATCTGTGACTGCTCAAGTTTCATTAAATAAAATGGCAAAGTGAAATGGTTTCTCTTATATAAAATTGCAAATTCAAGGTTTGCTTTTTGGAATCTGTATCTTTTTGGAATATTTTCAAGCCTTGGATGGCTGAATTGGCAGATAAAGAAACCGTGGTATGTGAAAATAATGTGATTATTCTCTTGTATTTTCCTTTTTTTCTTCTTCTGCCAGAAGTAATGTCTTTTTGTAAACTGCAACTTCTAACTTGGGACATAGGTGGTTACAGTCCATTATGTAACTGGTAAATCCTGCAACTGTGGGAACTGTTACTAATTGGGAAAATGCACTGGGGCAGAAAGAGAACATGGAGCTGTTATGTGCTCTTTTTGTACTTTCTCCCCCCCCTTTTTTTTTTTTTTTTTGCTCAAGTCCAAGAGCTGAATGACTGTTCTGTTTCCCCCTTATTCAAAAGTTTTCTATGATGGGTGCAAATGAGGCCTAGATATGTGTGGCAAAGGTAGGCTGAAAAGTAGTCTCTACTGCTTCTCCTTGGTATTGGGTTGATGTTGAATGATCAAATATAAACAAGCACCAGTGGGGAATTTCTGGGATGCTTTCCATCTTCCCTCCTCTGTCTTTTAAATGTGCATCCATTGAAATCTGATTTAGGAATACAATGATTTTTCTTTTGCACTCAGCATCCTCAAGACTAAACTGAATCCCCAAGTGTTTCACAAAATTAAATAATCTGGTTATAGGGATAAATAACAGCAGCAGAAGAGAAATGCACTGTGGAGAAGAGATGCTGCCTACTGATGATCCTACTTTAGAGCAGCAGTTCTCTATTGCAGTTGCTGAGAGACTATTTATGAACAGTGAAAACAGGCAATCAGACCCATGGTCAGAAATTCTGAATTTGGGTGATAATCTGAGTGTCTAGCATAATTTAATGTAAAGTAGTTGTTGCACCATATTTGTAGATATTCTTCATATATTTCACCAGGACATAAATATACTTGCAGATTAAGTGCAAGTATATCACAGGGCAGTGAGACCAACGGCTAGTCCAGGGCTAGGCAACCTTTCCCCTTTAAGGGCCGAGGGACTTCAGCTCCCAGAAGCCTCAGCCATGTTGGCCAATAGTCCCATGTTGGCCAATAGCTCCTGGGATTCTGGGAGCTGAAGTCCCTCGGCCCTTAAAGGGGAAAGGTTGCCTAGCCCTGGGCTAGTCCATTCCTCTCTGGGAAGTCTGTGGCTTCATGACCAGGCTTCCTGCCCTATTATTGCAACAGACATTATAGTTTCTACCTGGCCTCTTTATTTTGTCATGTATTGTTGTTTTCAAGACCAGCCCCCCAAGAGGTCTGGGATTTCAAGAGGTCTCAACCCTGGTGTTTTGTCCCCTTGGCCTTCTTTTTTCTCAGCCCTGGAAAGGGCAGGCCATCACACCATTGAATGCAAGAAAAACCACAAATTTTCAATCCAGAGACTTGTATTTTGAGAGATCTGAGAGTCTGTCTGTTTGTTTCTTGTTTTAATTATGATTGCCCAACATGCTGAATTAACAGCTATACAGAGATAACTGGGCCCCTTTCACACTATACAATTATAGCACTATGGGCCTAAGCAGACGGCGCAAAGCACAGTCTTTGAGGACGGGAAGGGGAGGGGCAGCCTCACGCTGGACGCCCCAACCCCTTCCCAACAACGTCGTCAGAGCAGCCGGCCCTCCGCATGGCCAGCGCTCTGACAACACACTTCCGCTGCAGCATCCGCACACGCTGCAGCGGAAGAGGCGCTGAAGGTGCACCGGAGGCCTTTTGCGGTGCGCCTTCAGCATCTTGCAGAAGGAGCACTATTTTAGTGCTCCTTCCTGGGCCTGGGACTCTGCGGCACAGGGCCGAGGTGTGCGGATACCTCGGCCCCGATCCGCAGCTTCCCGGGGTGGCCCCATGCCACCCGTCTGCTTCCCCCCTATGATTCCATTTTAACTACCATGGCAATATCCTATGGAATGGTGGGGTATGCAATGGGTGTATATTTTGAATGATCAGCTAGAGAGGCTTAGTGCCTCTGCAAACTATAAACCTAGAATCCCAAAGGATTCAGTCATGGCCATTAAAGTGAAATCACAGCAGTACAATTGTGTAGCAGAAAGGACCCAGCAGGTATCTGTCTATGAGGATAGTTGCTACTGCAGAAGGCTAGTCAAGGAAGCAGCTGGGAATGGCCTACAAACAATGAGTTACTTGTAATTAATTTCTTTTTCTAATAGTAAAGGTATACCTATCTTAAATTATAACTAACCAGCAATAACATCATCCCTTTTGCAGTGTAACTTGAACTATTTAGTTGCTTACTTTTACAGTTACAGGGATATGGCCTTAGTAAATGATGGAGGAGGATTATCATATGGTTCAAGTGCTAATTTGCGTTATGTTGTATAGTGTTGGGGTATTCCAGCAACAAAAAAGTGGATAGGAGAGGGATGTGTTTGGTACTACTGGCCAGAGACTTGTGACATCCAATTATTTTTTTAAAAGTAACTAAAGTTACCATTTCAGCTGCTTTTGAGAAACTGGGGGGGGGGGGGGGGGGGGGGAGGTGTGGCTTCTTTAAAAATGTAACTATAATTTTAGCCAACTGTTTTCTGTGCCTTGGAACTATTACTGATTAGTTATTAAACAAGTAGGTGAAGTGGTCTGCAGGTCACAAAGTCTTATGGCAGATCACACTTGTTAGTCTTTAAGGTAAATTTTGATATTTTTGCTGCAAACGATGAGCACAGCTACCTCCTGGAGACATTTGTTAGCATGTACCTCTCCTAGTGGTACATCATTACTCCCAAATTAAAGAGAAAGAGGGAGAAGGAGAAGAAGAGGGGAAGAGAGGGAGAGAAGCAGCAACTTCACCATCAGCAACATGAAAAGCCAGAGGGAAGAAAGCCCTCTGATGGTATGTGGAAATTAAACTGTTTGCTAACATGAAGGACATATTAAATATCCTTGGAGCAAATTCTTGTTGGTACTAGAAGATTGAGCAAGACGTTTGTCTCTTCTGAATTTTTAAAAATTAAGAAATGTTTTTATTTAGATAATTCAATCACACAAAGTATACATAACATTGCACTTTAAAAAGCAAGTGATTAAAAAGAAAAGAGGGGGAAAACCTTGAACAAAGCCACTAGATTTAAAAGGATAATTGAGAGAAAGAAATTACATAGCCATTTATCCTTAAAAAGAGAGGACACTATTTCAAAAAAGTACATGTGACCTTGGAGGACAAATAGTACCAGAGCTGTTATTGACACATTCGATATAGGGAGACCAAACATTCTAAAAAGGTTCAGTCATTTGTATGCTATTCAGAACTTGAGAAAGAGCTGTCAATTTCTTCCTTAGAGAGAAATGCATAACCTGTCTCTCCAGCTGTCCAAAAATAGATTAGAAACCTCTTTCCAATTTGTGACAATTTATAAACGTGCTGCTGCACACACAAAACAAATTAATTTTTTATACTGTACTTGTGAATCTACATTGATAAACAATGACAGAAATATAAATGTTAGCTGAAATCTTGCATTGAGAGACATGACTCAAAGATGTAGCTACAATAGTCTTCTGTAATACCCGACAAGCCCACCTTTTCTCAGTGGCAGCCCACTGAACCCAGCCATTTCCTGTTCATTGTAGAGGTTGGGGGGGGGGAGTATTAGATGAGCCTCCAGCCATGTTCCTATAGCTGGACATAGTGGTGTAACTGTGGTTGGTGTCAACCAATACAGGAGGAGGGCAGCAGGGAGGCAGTGGAATGTGTGTGGACTGCCCCATTGCCTTCTCTCCCAATGCCTTACTGTTGGGGTATACAGACAGGTAGAATCTAACATACACACATGCAGAGTTGAAGCACATAGGCAGAAACACCCAGAAGATGGTCCTCTGTGAAGAATCTTGCTCCAGATGGCACAGGAAAAATCGTCCCACACACAGCTGCTGCTTTCAGCTTGAAGAAATGAATAGCTGAGCAGAGAGATTTCACTCAGTGAGCGCTTTAATCTTTGTTGCAAATATTTACAAAGATACACAGAGTATCAGACGTCCATCTTGAATACTCACAGCCATACAGACCAACAAAGTGCTTCGCCAACTACCAACCACAACTAACCAACAATGGAGATTCTGACTCTCTCACATACATAGGTGGTCTTCTTAGGAACATGTGACAGCCATGCACTAATGAAACCTGGCTCGTTTCATCCCCAATGCCCATTGCACCAGACCTCCCATGATGCATACATGGCTTGTCTCATCTACTATGCATGTTGCATCAGGCTTCCCATGATGCATAGTTTACCAAATGCTTGAGTCATGCTCCTGCCACTTGAACTGTAGTAACCCTGTTTCCATTGCTCCAGTTCCTTTCAGTGGCCACATCCATGCCATTCTCCAGACTAGGGTGCCACATGGTCTTGACACTTACTAGTCTGCCCCACAGCTGGCCTGACACTGCCTACCAAGACCATTGATGAGTGTGTGTTTGGATGCACCTTCTGGACAGCCGTTTGGGGTCTGGGGCTGTTGCTCAGGAGAGCAGCCACCCTAGATCAGAAAAAAAGGTACTGTCTCCCCTAGCACCCACTGCTTGGGGGAGGGCAATGCTGTAGCCCCCAGAGGGCTGTTTGGGGTCTTGCATGGCTGCTGGGCAAGCAAGAAATGGACATCATGCCCTTTCTCACTTGCCCAGCAGCCATGCCAACC